AGAAACACAAGACATATTATTATTGTAGGTACTGATCCTAAATAATTTGGAAGGGCTAATAAACAAGGGCAGAAAGAAGAAGATATGAGTTACTACTGTAACTCATCAACTTCAAGGTTCAAGTTCAAGCAGGATGTTCCGTACAATTATTATAATTTTAGCAAACTATAACGTAACTATCGGTCAAACGATGTACGAACCATGATAGCGAGGGCCACGAAAAACTATGAAAATTTTAATTTAGAATCAATCAAGTGAATCACTTGAACTCAGCCTTAGTGGTGTTAAAGACAAACATTTCACTTTTAGGAAGATTACGATGAATATTGTGACCCTGAAAATCCAAGAATTATAAAGTATGACGATATCGTAGAAGCTACGCAGCGGATACGGCCTTTCGTAGCCAACACTCCTATTATGGTGAGTTTATAAAATTAACAAAAAAACCCGTTTTCTCGCGTAAATATACTGAGGAAAACTCAACTAGTTTCGAGTCACAGAGGAACTCTTCCTCATCAGCAGCGTGCGCAGTCACAGCAACGTCGCAGTTTTTAACATGTTACGACTACGACATCGCGTTTTCCACGAAGACATAAGCAAACAATGAGCATTATGAGCATTTATCGTTTGTGTTAGTCACTTCTAAACTAACTATTTGAGCATCTTCTTCATGTACAAAGGTATTTTCATTTCAGGCAGCACACACTCAACGGGAGTTTGGCATTTACATACATTATAAATTAGATTTCATGCAGAAAATGGGAAGGTAGGTAGAATTCTAGCTCCGATAGTATTTTTATCTCTGAATATCTTAATTGATCACCGAAATTGCACTGTAGTTTCAAGGAACGAGGCATTTTGAATGCCCTGCACCTTTTGCCAGCAGACAAGAAAAAGCTAGGCGTAGTGATGGCATCGTCAGGTAACGAAGGGGTAGCTCTGAGCTACCACGCAGCGAAAATGAATATCCCAGTTATTGTGATACTACCCATGTCCATACCAATAGATAAGATGCAAAGATGTCATTTATTTGGAGCGAAGGTAATAGTGCAAGGAACCAACTTGCAGGAGGCACAAAAATACGCGCGCGCTCTGGCAAGAGACAAAGGACTTACGTTTATTAATGGGTAAGATACAAATACACATTATTTTATCTACACATAATTGTAATAAAGACTTCATACCGTAGATACTAACACTTTTTTCTATAAAGACGTGATCACCCACACATCCTAGCTGGGTACGGTTCAATGGCGCTGGAAATATTGGAAACCACGCCGTTTGTCGATGCAGTGATCGTGCCGGTGGGCTCTGGAGGATTAGCCGCTGCTACTGCTACCGTCGTCAAACATCTCAAGCCGTCAGTACTCATTTATGTAAGTTATGTATTGGTACTAATATTTTTTAAATATATAAAGCTAAATAGTTGGTTTGTTTAAACGCACTTATCTTCGGAACAAGTTGTTCCAATTAGAAAATGTTTATTGTGTTGGATAGTCATTAATCAAGGAAGGCTGTAAAACATTACGCGACAATCAATAAGAGACAAGCGGGAGGTGAAACTGCGTGGGAGTAGGTCGTATATAATATTTAGAATAGATCCTATCGTCAAAACATAATATATTGACAACCTACAAGTGGAATGTCATACGATTTAAAGAATACCCGATGTCATTTGTAGGGGGTGCAGCCTGAGGCAATGCCGACATTTTTTAACTCATTGGAAAGTGATGAACCAATACAATTGCCCCTACAAACCAACATGGCGGATGCTGTCAGTGTCAACAGCGTTGGATGTAACGCATACGCAACTGCAAAACCTCTTCTAGACAAAATGGTATGCTTGATAGATTCAAATCGAGTCTTCTAGATGGTCTATGAGATAATTTGTTTCGCTATAACCCTGCTTTTATTTTTGTAGTTGCTCGTAAAGGAAGATTGGATTGCACGAGCAATGCTGCATTTGTTAGAGAGAGAAAAGTTTGTAGTAGAGGGCGCTGGAGCCTGTCCACTGGCCGCCATCATGGGAAACCTTGTTCCAGAATTAAAATGTAAAAAGTATGTAATAGTACCGGATAATATATAAAGTATCGATACTTTTGTTTAAAGCTGAAGAGTTTGTTTGTTTATCAATGCGCTAATGTCTGGAATTACAGGGTCGAATTGAACCATTCTTTTTAATAATCATGTTTATTTTAATAGTTAATTTTTATGTTTTCGTCTGAATCACGTAATTATTTGACGAGGACCTCGAGTAGGTAGTCGTTAACTAGGCGTCGCGGGTCGCGAAATGCTGCCCATGAATATGCGCCTCTAGCATGGCCTGAAACTAATAGATTTCCTCGTCAAATAATTAGTTAGCTGAAAACATAATAATAAATTTAGTATGTTTCACGAAAGTTATAATACATTATTTTTGTGTTAGTTAGTCCGTTTATCGAGGAAAGCTATAGGCTAAAACATCACGCTACAATCAATAGGTGCCAAGCAGCTGATGAAACCGCGCGGGAGAAGCCAGTTCCCTAATAGGGGTCATCCATAAATCACACGAATTTGATGTTTTTTTAGTATTAATTAATTGTGTCTATAATGACGGTGCTCGACGAGTTAACTTTAAAAACATATTACTGCCTCGTTCGCCGAGTGGTCGCGAGTGCGACTGCCGGGCTGCGACCGAC